GCACGAAAGGCTGAAGGGCTGAAAGAGACCTTTAAGACTTTTGGTTTGACAAGCTTTACAACGAATTTTGGTATATGGGAAGTGGGAAGTGGCAATTTGATTTGGGTGGATGCTCCTTGAACAAGTCATGGAAGTGGACACCTTGTGTTTATCCAAAGGGCCTTTTTCCACTTCCATGATCATTTCAAGTATATGACAGAAAAGCGATGAACATTAACACTACACACATTTTTTCTTTTGCGTTCAATGCTCAAGGATTTTTGGTTTCATTGAGTGCCGTTGGAAATCAAATTTCCGAATCTTTTCAGTGTTTCCATCTTGGAAAAAACTAGGCATTTACAAAGTCAAGCTGGTGAGATTACACCGCACAAACCATAACCTTCCTGCAGGGGCAGGGCATGTCAACCAACTCAAAAACATATATATATATATATATTTTTTTTTTCAACATGTACCTGCGTTTGAGCTGCTACCTGCCCGTTGGAAGGGGCTTTAATTTTCTGAAAATGATTTGAATTGCGGCTGTTTACTCAAGGAGGGAAGGGAACATCGGCCCGCATTGCGGGCTTTTGGTTCCTCTCCCCCTCGCGTGAGTCTCCAAGTTGTGACGTATTGAAATTCACCGGATTGGATTGCAAAAAATCCTTCTGAGGTCCGAGCTTTATAATGCAGTTGGCCAGCGGTGTGGTGATCTTCTTGTTCACTATCCGAGGCCTCGTTGCATGACTGCATTTGCTTTGAGGTTTCGCGGGTTTTGGTGGCAATTTCAATGAATTCCATTGTGAAATTGTGACATAGACTGGATGGCTACGGCTACATGACATCATCCAAATTTGGAGTTCTTGGCAGCTTTTTGCGAGGAGTTGCGGCAGTGTCCTCCCAAAGGGTGGGAACGGTTGCAGCCCCTTGCCATGAAAGGTTTGACAAAACCACACTTGTTGTCCACGGAATTTGACGTGGGTGATTTTTCCTTCAAGATAATTTTTTAAATTTCTGTCTCACAGAGAGCTTGACTTTGTTTACTATACGTTTTGGTTGCCAAGTCTTTGTGTTTTGTTGTTTTTTGCAAGGCCGGCGCCAGATCTGGTGGCAGTCCATGGTTTTCCTTGCTGACCAAGAGCTGGGCATTTGCAGGGGAATCTGAACCTGACCAGACGAAAGGACCTGTGGATGTGGGCTTAAACAGCCGTCCAGATCAACATCTCAATTTGTTTCCTCCTATGTTTCAATTATTCGTAAGGCTGCAGAACTCTTTGTGTATTTGTTCTCTTTGAAACATGTTGCAACTCAAGGACTGGATGATCTAGCACAAAATATTGTGCAACTAGCCAAGACTGGAGCACCAGATGAGACCATGACGAGCGCCATTGAAAGCATCCGGGCTATTGTGGCTCGTCATCAGGGGGCTATTGAGTTGCTCTTTTGGAGAGTGGCTGGTAGCTTCTTGCTACTAGTAGTAATGCCCTTGTTACTAGTAGCTTCTTGTTCCTAGTAGTAATGCCAGGAGCTACTACTGTAGTAGCTTCTTGTTACTAGTTGTGATGCACCTTGCTACTAGTAGCTTCTTGCTTCTGAGTATTTGTCCACTCTCGGAGCTTATTCGGCCCTCAGAGGTGGTGGACATGAAGGCAGCTGTGAACGACAGCCACGCAGTCGCCCAGGAGCAAATCAATGAGAAGGCAGTTTCGGTTTTGCAATCCCAGAACTGCCTATGAACACAGTGTCAATATACGAAGAGCAGGCAACTTTCACACTCACAATGACAGCTGTTAAACTCACGCATTCTGGAGAACGATGAATACCCCTTTCAAGAACAGACCCTCAGCCTACTCCACTGCCTGTAGCAGCCCTTCTTAAATTGGCAGGATGCAGTATATACAATATATATAACTTTTTCTTTTGGGATTCTGCACTTGTATTTGTGTGTTTGCACAGGGCGTTCTGCAACTTGAACTTTATTTGTGCTTGGTGGCAATGAATGCACGCTTGTTTAGGCAAAGGCCGTGGCTGGCTGCAAGGTGAGCTGCATGGCGTTCACTTTGCCTTGTAAAGCCAATTATACCTTTTTTGCTGCCAGTCGTTTGGGCAACATCCATGCCAGCAAGGTGCCAGCTCACACAGACCCCGACTTCGTAGAAAAGGTCATCAACCACGGGGAGAACTCGATCGAAAATGTTATGACCTGCCGACACATGGCGTTCAGTTGGCTAGGTGGGTGAACATTGAAAAACTACTTTGCTTGTTGTTTGAAAGAATGAATCAACCGGGCTTTCCGCCTTGAATCAACCGGGCTTCGCTGCTTCACTAAGGAGGAGCAGAGACGCCACTCTACCGTGATGCCGTCATTTTTATTTGGTCTTGTACAGCTTGCTGCGCTTTTGCTGCCAGTTGCCTACGCAAAATGCGAAGAAGAGAAGGCTCTCGGTTGCTGTGGTGCTCCAGACTTCAGCCTACTTTTGAGCAGTACTATCACGCAGCTAATGGCTTTACTGACTTGTTGCCACCTGATCATCCGAAACCTGTATAAACATACAGTATATTGGTAAAAGTCCGACTTCATGTATAATGTATGTATTGCATTGTATTGTATTGTATTGTATTGTATTGTATTGTACTGTATAAGTAGTATTGTATTGTATTGTTTTTTTGTATTGTAATGTATGTATGGTGTGTATGCTATGTATGGTATCTATGTAATGTAATGCAATGTAAGGTAATGTAAGGCAATGTAATGTATGTATGTATGTATGTATATATATATTTACATGTGTATTGGAAGTGCTGCTGCCAAATCTTTGTAGGCACGCTGCAGCAACACCACAGAGTGCTGTGCGCCGCTGGTCCAGCCAAATAAGTGCGCCACAGCCAACGCTCTGGCTGCATTTAGACGTATGACTAATGAGTGACTAAAGAGGGACTCAACTTGGAAGAGTGACTTGTTGCTTACTCTTACATGGTTCTTTTTGATCATGAGAATGATCACGTTCTGATTGGCACCCTACCCCAAGGGACCAGCTGTCGAAAGGTACTGCTTAGAGCCTGGGATGGCACCGTCGTTGGAAGCTCAGCCAAGACGACAGTCCACAGGACAGCGCGTTTTCTGGATACTCCTGACCAGATGAAAAGATACATTTGTTGCGGAATAAGCTTGAAGGCTTTGCAAAGCCTTTGGACATCTCCAACACTCCAAGGCCATTGCCTTTCGAGGCGACTTGCGAAGGAACGTGCTGGTCTTAAGCAGACTCCCTGCCATATGCAGGAGCATGCCTAGCAAGGAAGCAGATCGGCAGTAAATTTTGCGAGGTCCAAGTGCAAAGATGATGACGTGACTGCCAAGTTGGAGTTCTTTAAAGAAAAACTCAAAGAGTCTCTCGGCAGAATGTGCATTTCTGGACCCACTTATACTACGTTTTGTGGGCTCTGACGTCCAACTTGAGTGCTTGGGTCTTGGAAGAGCTTTTCTTACTTGATTTGTTAAGCACAATTCACATGTAGACGAATCAGATGGAATCACTCCAATATTGAGACTGTTGGGATCTAACCGAGCTTCATACTTGCAAGCAGTTGACAAAATAGAACTCGTAATTATTTGTTATGCTTTTAAATTGACGGCATTCTCAAGCTTGCAGGCTGGATGCTGCAGAGAAAGCCTGCGAAGATTCCCGCACAGGTGTTAAATTGTAAACTCACAGGGATTCTGATAGGTAAATGAGTTTGAATGGCATGAGCCAAAATGCAGCATTGCCGACAGGTTGCAAAGATTCCTATGACTGTGTGCCATTGGAGACAGCTTGGAAGGCACTTTGCAAGAGAAAGAGGATCTATTCTGCTGCAGGGCCTTTGTGCAGCATATCCTCGAAAATGTGCGTTTGCTACCACTGTAGCGCCATGCCCTAGCTCGCCACTTCCCCAATCAGCTACATCCAACCTGCCTTGCAGACCCAGCGCTCCTGGTGTCGCAGCAATCAGACAAACTTTGAGCAGGTTGGCTGCGAGTTCTTTTGCGGAGCTGTTCAACGAAGGTTTGCTAAACAGCTGTAAGGCAAGCATACCTGCTGCAAGAATTGCCCTAAATGTAGGATGAACAACTCTACTATGGTACAAAGAAGGAAGCAAGAGTCTTGCTTCATTGGCTTTGAGCCTTTTGTTCTGCCCAGGGCTATTGTGATTTGGGCACATCAGTCGAGGCGCTGCCGTAGGGTCCTTGCTCCTAGTAGTAAGGCCAGGAGCCCCTAGTAGCTTCTTGTTCCTAGTAAGGCCAGGAGCCCCTAGTAGCGTCCTTGCGCCAGCTTTACCTTCAGTTTCGGCTTTGATAAAATACATCAGCTGAGATTTAGCGGACTCCACATCAGCTGAGATAAAGCCCACCTGCATTGGACAGTCTTGCAGGGCCATTGCACATTGTACAAGCGATGTGTGAACAGTATGAGTAAGCCGATCGAGAAATACTGAGAATTACACACACATATATATATATATGTGGTACCCCCCCAATGTCTACCTTTTTTAGTTTTACTGGTATTTGCGGTGTTTTATTGACATTTTTGGACTTGCGAAAACAGTATGTTTTTTAGGCACTTTTCACATGGGGTGTGCCATATATATACATATAATACATATATATATATATAAGAACATATATGCATATACACTGTGTTGTCGACAACCTTTGCATGTTTAAGACGAAAACAATTTTAGGAATGGGTCAAGACTCAAATACTTAGAGAATTCCAAACAATAAAAATCGTAAGAATCTTAAGATTTTCCTGGAACCAAGAACCAAGATTACCCAGAAGTCTTGGGGATAATCTTGGTTCTTGGTTCTTGGTTCCAGGAAAATCTTAAGATTCTTAGTATTTTGATTTTCTGGAATTCTCTAAGTATTTGAGTCTTGACCCATTAACACTATGTATGTGCAGTCTTGATGCTTGGATCCTAGTACTGTACTACTTCACTGTGTCTTACTTGAGTATTTCGTCCGCGCGTGCCTCAAAATTCAGTGCATTGGAAGCGCGCTTTGACAGAAATTTTGACACGCTCGGACTTTCAGATCGTGAAATTGCTGATCAAGGACAAAATACTTCCGAATTGGAAAGGCAAGCTTTGCCCGAAGTGCAATGAGGGCACGCTTTCACCATTGAAAGTCCACTGTGGAGACACTGTGGCCAAGTACAGGTGCTCAAGGAAGGCTTGCCAGCAAAGGATCCACCCCTACTACTTGCGTCCTTTTTTCCAAGCTTGCCGCGGGCCAGAGGCTCTATTGCTTCAAATCCAAGCAGGCATACTTTTGCTCCTTCTCCTTCGAGTGGTCCAGAGTTCCATTCACCTCCTCCTGGGCGTCAACCGCAAGGCAGTAGAAGGGATGCAAAGGCGGTTAGAGTGTGTCCGCGAAAAGTATGTGGAGAAGCGCGAGAAGAGCATTGTGTTTGGCAAGAATTCGATGTGGGCTGATGTTGAGGCGGATGAAGCCATGTTTGATAAGAGAGACCTCACCAATGATGCCGAACTGAGCCATCAGGTCAAAGGAGATCATTGCCTTCTATGGGAGCAATGGTGTGGCCTCGTTCAGCGTGGCCTGAGACTTTGGTCCTTGCCGTCTTCAACCTCCGCTCACCGTACGCCGCGCTCCTGGCCCAGGACCAATCACTAAAAAAGATTGGAAGCCTCTTGCCCGAAGCATCTGGCCAACAGGAAAATCATTTTCCACACCGATTCCGCCAAGGCGTACAAGCTCAAACTTCCAGGAGTGATTCACGATTCTGTTGTCCACCAGAAGAAGAGAGTCAAGCTGAAGGGCAAATGGGTGTGGACGAAGCCTTCCTTCCTTGAGGTTGTCAGCCGCACGCTTCCTGATGGTAAACGGCTGAAAGCGAAGGCTGGCACTCAGCACATCGACCGGTGCTGGAAGTTTCTGAAGGACCGGCTAGGGACCCACAACCGGGCTGGCATGGCATGCCTTGGACGCAAATTCGGGCAGCCCAGTATGAGTACTGGCACCGGGGCAATGACCTATGGTCACGCACTCGGGATTTGCTGCATGACTATATGTCAGACATTGTGGCAAAGCCTTAGCCTGTGGAAAATGAAAACGGGGGTTACCTTGCACCGGGTCCTGCTTGTCCCATAAAAACATGGACGCCCTTCTAAGGATTCAGCTTGCTCTGTTCCCTCAGCACCATCCTTGCAGAACACTTGGCTTCATTGGTCTCCATGTGTCCTTCATTCGGCCAACATCTTTTCATCTGTCTGCTCCCAACTACAAGGCGACATCAAATAAAACCATGCAAACCAACCAAAAAGGTAGACATTTGGGGGGGGTAGCGTATATATATATATATGTGTGTGTGTAAGATGGAATCGGAAAGCAGATATGAAACAGGAAGGCAAGGCCCTTTTGGAGGGGGCCTTACCTTCGTTTTGTCATTTTCTTGTTTAACTTATTTGCGCATACTTTTCTATATTGAATTCTTGTAGTTTATGAGCATACCACTGCGAGTTCTTGCAGGCCAAGTGGGACTCCTACTTGCACTGTCAGGATGCCTCAGTGAGTCTTATGATCATGAGATATCACAAGGAAGGGCAGGGTCAGGATCAGAACCTTTTTTGGAGCAGGAACAAGGCTATGACAACGAATGAGAGAATTGGTTAGATGTCACAAGTCTGAGCACTTCAGGCTATGACACCAACGTCGAACATCTTAAGCAGGAAGAGTACACCCAGATGGCGCAGTTGCCGGGCCGCGAGCAGGACGACGGGTAACGCTTGATTGTTGATGCCCTAATTTTTCTCTAAGGGTGTAGGCCGTGATGTGAGCTTAAGTTGAAGTAAGCAAGAGGGGTAAGACGGGTAAGAGAAGCTAAAGAGATGCTATTAAGGGTTGTCCCTTTCTAGGCTTGGATGCACTGTTTGTTGCTAAATTGAGCTTCCTTGAAGAACCCCTCGCGTGATTGATTTGGTTCCTAAATTTTCAAGCGTTATATGTTTTTTACGATTATTTTTTAAAAGGGGGTAGGCCCCTAGGAGGTAGGAAGTAGCTAGGGAGTGGCTAGTAGAAGAGGTAGCTAGTAGTTTAAGAAGCTACTACAGACAGTTCGCAGGATAGCTCACGCTTCCTTGAAGAAGCGCTCGCACTAATGATTTGGTTCCTAGATCTATATTTTTTTAATTTTCTTTTCACGGCTTAGCCCTTCTCATCCTGCGGCTGAGTCCGCGAGAGATGCCATCGGTAGCACTTGGCACGCCAAAGTTATCTTCGTCAGTTATCTTGGTCTGAAATCAGGCTGAATCGTTTCAATTCCTGGCAGCGCCAGGAGTGGCGAGCCCTTCTTCGAATTGATTGTCTGCTGGGTGAACCCCTTGGAGCGAGAGCACCGATTCAAAGGCTTATTCTTTACGCCTGTAGCAATTGCAGTTTGTTCACTTGCATCCGGAAAGCAGCAAACGCCGGATTGTTTTTTTCGTTCTGCCATGCTCACGTCCATACTAACTACTAACCACAAACTACTGACTACTAGCTACTCCTAGCTAGTCTCTACTACTACTACTACTACTTCTTCTACTACTATTACCGCTACTACTCCTACCACTACTACTACTACTACTACCACTGCTACTACTACTACTACAACTACTACTACAGCTGCTGCTGCTACTACTACTATATACTACTACTATATACTACTACTTACTACTACTATTACTACTACTACCACTACCACCACTACTACTACTACTACTACTATCACTACTACTACTACTACTACCATATACTACTACTACGATATACTACTAGTACTATATACTACTAGTACTATATACTATTAGTACTATATACTACTACTACTACTACTACTATATACTACTACTACTACTATATACTACTACTACTATATACTAGTATCACTATATACTACTACTACTATATACTACCACTACTACTACTACTACTGCTACTGCTACTACTACTACTACTACTACTACTATATACTACTACTGTTTACTACTACTACTACTATTTACTACTACCATATACTACTAGTACGATATACTACTAGTACTATATACTACTAGTACTATATACTACTACTACTACTACCTACTACTACTACTGTATACTACTACTACTGTATACTACTACTACTACTACTATATACTACTACTATATTCTACTACTACTACTACTATAAACTACATACTACTACTACATACTACTATTACTACTACTACATACTACTACTACTACTACTACTACTACTACTAGTACTAGTACTACTACTACTATATACTTCTACTACTAGTACTTCTACTATATATATATATACTACTACTATATACTACTACTATTTACCACTAGTATATACTACTACGATATACTACTACTTCATACTACTACTTCATACTACTACTATATACTACTACTCTTGCTACTACTACTACTACTACTACTACTGCGATGCAACGCGCCGAGTGTATACACGCGGACTTCAGCGCACCGAGTGCATCGCAGCGCACCCAGTGCAGGGCACCGAGTTCAGCGCACCAAGTGCGTCGCAGCGCACCGAGTGCAGCGCGCACATCGAGTGCAGCGCACCGAGTGCAGCGCGCCGAGTGCATCGCAGCGCACTGAGTGCAACGCCCCGAGTGCAACGCACCGAGTGCAACGCACCGAGTGCATCGCACCCGAGTGCAACGCACCGAGTGCAGCCCGCCGAGTGCAACGCAGTGCACCGAGTGCAACACCCCGAGTGCAACGCACCGAGTGCAACGCACCGAGTGCAGCGCACCGAGTGCAACGCACGGAGTGCAGCCCAACCCGAAAACACCACATTACACCCAGTAACGCTTACCCGCTACAGTGAATTGTTTGCTAACATTTTGATGTGCAGAGGTGTAGTGGCTTGCGCGCACTTCGATTTGTATTGTTGATGAAGGCTTCATGTTTGGACTCTGAAAATTTTTCGTTGTGTGGTTTTGCCACTAAATCACAGGTTGGTGCGTGGGTTTTGTGTTTCTTTATATACAGTCTGAGTTTCATTCTGCACTCCCTTGGCATTGTGATTGTGGTTCTCGGGGAAGTTACCCTGAAAACCCAAACCAATTACCAAAAAACGGTTGAGAGTGTTGCGCCCTTCGCCACTAACTCAGGCAATGTCCATTTCTGTCAAGTCATGTTGGCTGATTCAAAAGCTGCTAATTTAAAGCTCCCGTCCGTGCCAATACCCTGTTGGTGTGGGGTGGTGAGGGGATAACTACTACAAAATGGCAAAACAAGATAAGACAAGGGGCTGATTGGCGACGCTTCAATCTACGTTTGTTCCTTTCAGGTTGCATGTTGACGGGATTTAATTCTTGTCTCTATATACTTCAACCTCATTTATAGCTGTTGGTTCCCTGAACAATCCTTCTTTAACAGTACCCGCACGCCTTATCGTTCACCCGGCACCCTTTTTGGATGGAGAGGTCTTTATGTTAGAAGTTCCAGTTTTCTAGCTTTTGAAAGAAACGCAAGGCCACCAGCTCAGGAAAAATATCATTTCTCATGCTTTCAGTGCAACCTGCATGGTTGAAGGTTGATGCTGCTGGTTTGAGTTTCATTCTGCTTGGTCCCTGCACTGCAGAGGGGAAACATACATGCAGATGTGCTATACCAGTACTTTTTTGGTGCTTTGGTTGGCGTGCCTGAGGTGCGCTGGTTTCAGCTGTTGCTCGGCATTTTCTCTGGGTTTTCCGCTTCTTTCTTGTTTCAATTTGTCCTCTCACCCAGTGTGGACTTGCATCACCAAGGATGCTTCAGCAGCTCTGCAAGCTTGCATAGACAAGAACTATACCTCCACTGATTGGGTTCATCTTACCCTTGTGTACCTTGGCAGAAAGGCCCTGAAGGGGCATGGGTCTTCACTAACATATATACAAAAGAATGTATATATGTATTTGTATTTCAGAACAAGAGGACAAACATGTATGATTTGCCTTTGCAGGTATCCGTCGACGAAGGCAGAGTTCCCTGTGAGGGGACACTGCACGGAGGATTTGCAGGAGCCTGGCACAAGGTGTGAGTCTTGAGCTCGCACGAAAATTGATGGAAGTACGAAGCAAGGTGAACAAGCTGTTTTAATCGAAGCTGTAATTATGTATATAGGCGCCTCTAAAATCTAACTGTTGAGGCATACTTGACCTGCCCTCGCAGGTATTTTTCCGAGAGCTGGTATCTTTCAAGATCGCAAAGATTCGGAGCCCGGCAGCATTTGCTGATCCCGGTCGGTGTGAAGACATACGGTTGTGTGCGGAGCTGAGCATTTGCAGATCAAATTCTGGAATGAAGGGGCCCAAGATGGCTGGCAACCAGCTTACAGTTTGGTGCTAGCAGTAGTGTCTCCTTTGCCTACTGAACTGCTGGGACTACTTTGCCACCACTTGTGAACAGATTTGAGATGATTTTGCGATTGGGTTTGCGCACAAAGTAGACGCAGTGTGACCGTGCTGGCTCCAAGCCAATCGATGAGCTGATGTCAGAGCATTGTTGCCATTGCTTTGTTCCACTTCGAGCCAGTGTTCTGCGAACCCTTTAAGCCGGCTAGGCGTTGTTCACGCATTCTTGATTGAGAGACGCAGGTCTGTAATATTCTAAAAGACATGCTTTGTGGGCACGGCGCAAGGACAGCGAACCAAACAGCCTGCGTCCAATTTGAGGTCTCCGGGATCAGCACAACCCACTGCCCACGACAATCCAACTCATCAGCATTGCTGGCCATGTCCACGAAGGTGCCATGTCCACTCTGTGAAGACCTTTTGTAGAGTGTAGAGTCAAGAGCAAGATGCGAAGTCTTAGGAGCCTTGAGAATATTACGAATGTTTCCTTTTGAGCCAGGAAAGTGCACGATATACACATAGCTGACATAGCTTTGACGCCAGAGAGAATGGTGTGTCCAATTGACATTATGCTTGTCCAGGTGACTTCCCACCACACGCATCACATGCGACAACACTTGCACCACCCCGTGGTGGCTTGGCCTTTGAATGGGCAAAGAGAGCCCAGAGCACTCTGAACACAGATTGAAGCAGCTGAGCGGTGGCACTGGCTGTGTGGTTGGGATTATTAAGTTCTGGAACATTTTTGATATTTTTGACTGAGGCTTTTAGACGGGCACGCTGAGTTTTTGTGTTGATAAAGGCACAGAACTTGCGCGGCTTCAAATAGACTAGGGTTCAGTCCCTGTGGCTTCAGATGGGATTGGTGGAGATCCGCCTAAACCCCGTTGACACTTCGCCTGCGACCGAAAAATTATCTCCGCGGACATCCAATCTACATTGGTCAATTCGAGTGTTTCTGCACTTGAGACGAATCTTGTGTATTTCTCTGCAGCTCAAGCCTTTTTATGCGGCCTTTTCCACGATTTCTCGACAGACTGTAGGCGGTACAATCGGAGACATAGGAACTGATGCAGCTCATCTAACTGAGTATGAGAAGGCACAGGCACTCAGTCCTGCTGGACATGGAGCCGCACTGATTCCAAATGATCTGGACAATGAGGTTCACAGGTCCAAAAGGGACACGTGGGTGGATGATGGGGTGAACGCTCACGACCTCGACTTTGCAGTCCTCAACAACCTTGACTCCTCGACCTTGCTTTTGCCTGTGCTGTTTTCCGAATCCTGCACCTGCAGAGCGTTCAGCTTAATGCAAGCCCTTGGCGGAGCCATGACAAATGTGCCTCATGGCACCTTTGCTTCGAGCTACGACGAACCTTCTCCATTCAGGC